CCAGTTCTGCTTCCATGGGACCTGCCGGTTCCTGGTCCAGGAGGACAAGCCAGCGTGTGTGTAAGTGCCAGGAATACGCTCCCGCGATCCAAATCCAAATGGGCCCTTTGCGTCTTCCCTTTGGGAAACCCCAAAACCTGGGCTTGAGCCTGGATTTGCCAGGCTCTGAGTGATGCTCCGGTCCTCAGGCTGATGCTGATGCTCTTCCCTGTCCCCTTCCCACTGGTGCAGGTGCCACTTGGGGTACGTGGGGACGCGGTGCGAGCACGCCGACCTCCTGGCCGTGGTGGCCGCCAACCAGAAGAAGCAGACCATCACCGCCTTGGTGGTGGTGTCAGTGGTGGCCTCGGCGCTGCTCATCGGGGCCTGCGTGCTCATACAGTAAGTACATGGCGCTGGGGACCTCGGGATTGGGCTCAGCACCTTTCCCAGCCCCTTTGAGGGCAGGATGCTGGTATGCAGCCACTGAGCATCCTCTTCTTGCTCCCTTGTAGCTGCTGCCGGCTGCGGAAGCACTGCCAATGGTGCCGGGCGCCCAGTGGAGGCCAGGAGAAGCCGGGTGGGCTCCTGAAAGGTGGAGCCTCCTGTTGCCACACTGAGATGGGTAAGGGGACCGGGGGGCACCATGGTGGGACGCCGGCTGCTGGTGTGTAACCGCGCTCCCCATCCCCTTCCCCGCAAGGGGTCTGACAGAGCCCCTCACCCAGGACAGCCCTCGCCGGGGACCAGCGCAGCATCTCTCCTCTGGTTTTCTCTTTCTTTTTCGGTTGGTTGGTTGTTTTCCCCCCTTTTTTTGCCTTTATTCCCCCTCTTCCCCACCATGGAAGATGGCAAGAAGCGCCCCGGCACATGCTGCGTTTGGCAGCACCATAAGCACGCTGGCAGCAGCATCACCCTCTCCAAAGAGCCAAACCCTGGTCCAGCAACGTGCAACTGGGGTTTTTCTTTGGGTTTGGGGTTTGGGTTTTGTATTTCTCAGATTATTGTCGGGTTTTTTAACACCAGAACCCCCCCACCCCTGCAGGATGGGGCTTTATTTTTCTATAGAGACAGAACCCCTCGGCAGTCGCTCACTTTGGGGACAGAAATGAGCTTTTTATTAATAATCAAATGAACTTTAATCCTAGGAACCCTCCTCAGGCCGGTGTTCTAACCTTCCGGTGCAGCGTTTAATCCTTTCCATAGTCTTTTATCATAACCAACCCGAAGCTTTCCTGGTTCATTTTGGTTTTGTTTTTTTAAAGTCATGGTTACTCTCATGTCTTCTGTATATGTTGCACTGAAAAGTTAATATTTAATGTTTTAATTTATTTTGTGTGGTTAAATTAATGTTGATTTCTATAATATGTTATTGTGATCGGCTGATCTTTTTTTTTCCCCTAATACCTGGATTAGAGTTATTTAAGTGATATAAAGGACACTTTTTTTCAGAAAACATATGTTTCAAGGCTTTTTTTTGGGGTGGGGATATTTGGCGAAGGAGATGCTGGGTGCAAGGGGAGCATCTCCAGGGTGCAGAACTGATACCCTGGTGGTGGGCTTAGCTCTGCTCCTACGCATTTCCAGCTCAAACAGTGCAGCACTGATTCCCTAGTGATGGGTTCAGCCCCATTTCCTGCCCAAAACATGAGGGAGGGTAGAGAGATGGATGGATGGATGGATGGATGGATGGATGAGGTTGATCTTGTTCCCGCTGCATGGGGAGCAGGATTGGGGGGTTCCAACCTCACACCACACTCAGGAGCTGCCAGTGGGGACCCTTCCCAGGGAAAGACCCCCCCGATACAGGAGCAGGGGGTGCTGTTGGGGGGCACCATCCGCACGCAGGGT